AATCAATCACATTTAGACATTTTATCTTCACTTTTAAATGTCTAACATTCTGAAATTTGTCAGTTAACAATTAAGCCAATCTTGTATTTGAAATCGTTTGAATGATTACTTTTAGCTTGGGCTAGGTGACTTTCCAGAATTTCCAAATACCGTTCAAAAACATATGTATGTTTAAAAAATGGATTATCATCCCTGAGTTCGGAGACATTGTTCTGCAAATATAACTGACTTGGGCGCCTGGGTGGCTCAGTTGGTTAAGCGACTGCCTTCGGCTCAGGTCATGATCCTGGAGTCCCGGGATCAAGTCCCGCATCGGGCTCCCTGCTCAGCGGGGAGTCTGCTTCTCCCTCTGACCCTCTTCCCTCTCGTGCTCTCTATCTCTCATTCTCTCTCTCAAATAAATAAATAAAATCTTTAAAATATATATATATAACTGACTTAAGGTGAGGTTTTCCCGAATGTTTTATATCCCTGAACTTTTGTGGCACTAAGGATTTCATTATAGTAACTGTCACAATTTGGTTATATCCATCATAATGTCCTTCACATTCCCAGTCATTCATAAGTATAAATACTTATTTCCACAGCTTCCACATCTTCCCATACCACTCTACAAACTGAATCTCCTTTCCCTGTCTTTGCCAACAGGCCTTGGATGTTATGGAAAGACACGACTTAAAGATATAAAATAAGTTATCACACTTAGTACACTGACATGCCTATATGTTAAAATGCTCATGTGTGGAATTGATACTCATCATAGCACTTCAGCAGAAGGGAGAAATAGCAACCACCAGGACTGTGCTCCTCCATGGAGACAAAAATGGAACAACTTACCTTTTAGAGTGCTCCAGAAGCCAGTTAGGAGAACATAGCATCCCCAGGCAAGTACAAAGGAAGAAGAGCCTCATCAAAGAGACAAGGAAAGCTTGTGACACTTGCCCACAATAGCCACTCACCCTCCCAGATACTCCATGGCAACACTGTGAGAAAACTCGTACCTCTCCTCAGGAAAGAAACAAATGAGTGACCTATATGTTCAATGATCTGGCTTCTTGGCTGCTGCCTGAGGGACTTGTTTCTGTCATGCAGGACATGGGAGGCAGAGGAAATGACAGCACCTTCTTGATGCAGTGTGGTGGCTGCTCAGACCAAAGGTGAGCATTTGTTCAACCCATGGAGAGAACAAAGAGCTGAAGACAAACAGAGAGAGGAAGCTTTCACGGACATAAAGTAGTAACTACAGTTTTAAACCTGGGAAATTCCAAAATTCAGAAATGATAAATTCTGAATAAATAAATCACAGAACATGTGTGAGAGGTCCCAGAATTACTATTATTTGTGTTCCTCTCTGCAAAGCAAGTCCATAATCTTGGGCTCAGGGGCTGCTTTTTTAAAATCCACGTATGTCAACAAAATATAATAAAGCATAGGGCGCCTGGGTGGCTCAGTCGTTAAGCGTCTGCCTTCAGCTCAGGTCATGATCCCAGGGTCCTGGGATCGAGCCCCGCATTGGGCTCCCTGCTCAGCGGGAAGCCTGCTTCTCCCTCTCCCACTCCCCCTGCTTGTGTTCCCTCTCTCACTGTGTCTCTGTCAAATAAATAAAAAATATTTAAATATATATATATATATATATATATATGATAAAGCATACAAAGAAACAGAGAAATGTGTTCCAAACAGAGGAATGAAGTAAATCTCCAAAGCTGGCCTTAAATTAATATAGAACTATTATTAGTTGCCTAACAAAGAATTCATATAACCATCATAAAGATGTTCATGGAGGAAGAAAACAGAGAGTTAACTAAATGGTATCAGGGAAACTACGCATGACCAAAATGGAAATCCAGACAGACAGAAAGTATAACAACAATGAACCAGAAACTGGGAGCTGAAGACAACAGTCACCGAATTTAAAAATCCACCAAGGGGTCAGCCACAGACTTGATTAATCAGAAGAAAGAATCAGACATCTTAAAGACACCTTATTTTAAATGCTCTACTGAAAAGATCAAAGAAAAATGTGGAAAAGGAGAGTCTAAGGGACTCATGGGAGACCAACAAGTGGACCGATACGTGCACTAAGGGGACCCCATAAGGAGAGGAGAGTGAAGGGGGCAGAGAGCTGACGTGAAGAACTAAAGGCTTGTACATCCCATGTATGTGGAAAGAGACCAACTCAACAAGCTCAGTGGATTCAAAATAGGATAAATCTCAAGACATGAACACAGTGACACATCATAATTAACTTATCACAAATCACAGGTGAAAAGAAAATTTTGAAACAGCATGACAAAACCAACCATCTTGTACAAGAGAGCTTTATAAGATTAGTAGTGGGATTCTCAGCAGACCTGACAGGAAGAACTACATGGGAAAATATATTCACATACTGACAGATCAAAAAATAGCCACCAAGAATACTTTACCTGGCAAAGCGGTTTTCCATGAATGTAGAAATGAAGACTTTCCCAAGTAAAAACCCCTCTAAGTTTACCAGTAGACCTGTCCTACAAGAAACGTTAAAGGAAGTCTTTCTAGGTGAAACAAAAGGATTGTGAACAGTAACTGAAACCACATGACAACATAAAGCTCTCAGCTAAATGTCAACATTTACACAATTATAGAAACCTGTACTATTGTAATTAAGTAGCACGTCACTTTTATTTCTGCTACAGAATCTTTTTATATAAAAGCATAAAATCATAAACCTAGGTAACAAAGTACACAACATAAAAGAATTTGTGATATTGGTAACAAAGTGGGTGCAGGGGTGGAGATGATAAGTAGAAGAGTTTTGTATGCAATTGACAAGAGCACTTTAAAATGGTCTGTTATACCTTTAAAATGTTTTAAGTAATTTCTAATGTAACTATTATCAAAAGTACAGAGAAGACACAGAAGTTAATGAGGATGATATCAAAGCATGTCATGGGTATAACACCACAATTAAGGATATAATGTAATACCAAAATTTGATTCAGAGGTATAAAAATGTTTTAAAATTACACTGAATTCACAAGAAGTGTTTCTCACATGCAAAGGGAATATAAATTCACCAATAGCTGATGAAATTAATTCTAATATTATAACAACTCACCTAGACATGATACAACACTCACTGAACACTAACCAATAAAAAAAAAGTCACAAGATGAGTCATAATCAAAGTATGCTTGGGTGGTATTTATACAAATACATACATAATTTTATTGATAAAGGGCATAAAGCTGATTCATATGTGAGATAAACTCACATTGTCTTGAAATCTACTGAGTTGAAAATTGTCATCCTATAATAAAATACACAGGCAACAACAATATCACAACTAAATAATGTTGTGGAGGGTCCCATACAAAAGTAAGCACATTATTACGGAATTGCAAAAGCAGAATAAGACAAAATTTAACCCAAAGAAGTCTACATAAAAATATATGAATTTTTGAAAGGAAACCTTCTATATAAGCGTAATTTTAAACTGTGACTATGTACCCATGAAAAACAAGTATTTTGAATTATTGACATGCCTAAATTGACAGTAAAATTGTAAAGAATATTCATTAAAATCAACCATGAATAACTCTAATGAATGAACACTTAAAAGACATTAAAAAATGTATTATGTTATTAACATGTCCCTCCTCTTACACAAAATGCAAGGCTATAATCCACTCTTTAAAAACAAGCAGCCTGGGGTGCTGGGTGACTCAGTAGGTTAACATCCAACTCTTGATTTCACCTCCGGTCACAATCTCAGGGTTGTGGGATTGAGCCCCTCAGGTGGTCTGTTTAGGATTCTCTTCCTTTACCCCTCCCCGCACTACTGCTGGCTCGTTCTCTGTCTCTCATAAATAAATAAATTTTAAAAAAGAACCAAGCACCCAAAGAAATACCCTTCATTTTGAAATAAGAGTATCAAAATTGTAAAATATGCCAGCAATCACTTTGTAAAAAATAAATACTGGGAATTAAATTCGGATACATTCTGAGGAAGAAAAACCTAACAGTTAATTTTTCCTAAAGTAAAATTAAATTTATAAACAAAACTTTTTTTTTAAATATGGGGATTTTCCACCTCACTTCTTAGCGGCATATGCCCATGTCATATTACCACTATTCATATAAAAAAATTAGAGATGAATCTGACATATAATAAAGTGAAAACACATGACAAAAATCACAACTTCATATCATACAAAATTCTAAAATGATGCAATTATTAATAAATAAAATAACAACTGAGACTTTATTATAGGCTGCAAGTTCTAAGTTCTAAATGTTCTAGCTAGCTCCCTTATGGCATTAATTTATAATTTATGTAGGAATTCTAGGACACAAAAAGATACATTATTTCACCACTGAGGAATGCAACACAGAGTAGAACTTTCTAATATTAGTCAATACAAAGAAAAATGAACCTTTGAAGAGAAATAAGGGATTAGATTTTCTCATTTTAGGGGGGTGCTTTATCTGATGAGATTACTGAGTCTCAATTTTGTTCAATTAAAATTAAAGCCTCCATAACATTGGAAAGCATAAACCAGAAAACACCAGATATCGATCAACAGTGTTCCCATGACTTCTGCACCAAACCCCAGTATGTCCACTGCTATCATGACACACTTCTCATACGAGGCAAAACAGAACTTAGAAAAGGTTTAGCATAGAGTTCCTCAGAAACGGGGAGATTTCCCCAGGGCCCTCACAGCAATGGAGAAGCTCTCAGACTATGGAGGGCCCCCCACTCCCAGGGTAGTTGCCTGGCCCTCCCTGTGGATGTGATGGACCATCACTGGAGCTGAAGGAGAATCTTGAGAGAATGTAAGAGCTTGATAATGCTGGATAGCAGACGTCCCACTGTGAGAGGGAGAGAAATAAAACTAGGCTTCTCAAACTAATTTCCATTCAAGGAGAGCTACTTGAAACACACTTTAAGGTCAATCTTCCTGCTTCACATTTGGACCTCACCTCTGTCGTCTGCTTCCTTCAGTCCCACCTACCTGGGGGGATGGCTACTCTCTTCTTTCTCTTCATATCCCAGAGCTCCTTCCCTTGCTCCAAAAAGAGGACCAGGTTTGGTTTCCACACAACGAGATCTGTTTAACAGAAAAAAGTATTGCTGGAGATTCTAACTTTCAATCCAAAATTGTGCTCAGCAGAGAAGAGAGGACATTGGAGAATTCTAGAAAATTATTTCCCAAATGCTGTTAACCAACGGCCCCTTTAGAACACAAGTACGGGTTTCGAATATTCACATTATGACCTCCACTTCCAAGCACTACTGATACAATAATAAAGAGTAATAATTGGAGTTTAGGATGTAGGCAGTACCATTTTATGTCACTGAATATGTAGAATTACCACAAATCTACAGAATTGATGATATTACCCTAACGAAGGGCGAAGCTAAAGCTGAAAAGGAAATACCGTGAAAATTTTTCTCTACAAACCCCTACTTATTTCCCCTATTGCCTGGATCTGAATTCCAGTCGTGCAAAGAATCTTTGAAGAGATGGTTTTCAAAGGAAGGAACAAATCCATGTGTGGTTTGGAAATATGGAAAAAGTCATCCTCACCCAGGAAGAGGAGGTGTCTATAGTTCTCTAACATCACATCCCTGTACAATTGCCACTGAGTGTGGTTCAGGCATCCCCACTCCTCCTAAGAGAATTCGATGGCCACATCGCTGAATGTCAGCACTGGTGAGCACAGAGGCCAACGGAGGGCTCAAGCCCATGACCCATGAGATCATGAAGTGAGCCAAAATCATGAGTCAGACACTTAAGCTACTAAGCCACTCAGGTGGCCCTCTTAATTAGATTCATATTCTGATTTACCCTAGGGCAGCTACAAGAACACAGAAGTTATAATGTGTCCTTCAGTGTGCCTCAGGCACTGATACTAATTTGCTTATTATTACAGCTGATGTTAACTTCTTTTACTTGGCTTGGTGCTCTCCGCCAGATTCCTCCTTAATTTATCTCTTAATCAATCATAATGATTGGATGGATTTACTGAAAAATGTGTGTAGAATCCATCACATTCAAACTAGAAACTCCTTTCTTCTGAGTTTCTCTTTGCTTGTAGTTTCCAATGGAAAATGAAAGCTCTCTCGTTTGTGCACTGAAGATTCTGACTTGTGGGAGTGTTGGTTCTAAGTCAATGAGGCCTCCAACTTTTAAGATTTCATTGTATTTCACACTCATGTCACAGACACATTCTTTTGTTTACTTATTTGTATTTTCGAGAAAAGAAAACATGAATCATATAGTTAACATATTGAAGTGTCTCTGTGTCCAAAGCTATGACTTTTCATATGGGTAGATAAACTTATTTTATTTCACATGGCACAGAGTACAACACAGAATGGCATATACCATCAATGCACCATTTGTTGTCACGAGTGAACACTATGATAGCAGAGAGACTGTATATCTAAAGACGGACAGTAGGGAGAGCAATATATCATGGGCTCTTAAGAAACAGAGAAATTTTTTGTTACTGGAAGTTACATGCACAGAGAATATACCTGACCGAATGGGTTTGACAAGTTGCAAATTTTCTGCATCCTATGACTGTTATTGGTGTTCTCCTGAAAAAAGCAAGTCCATAAAGACTAGGAGACCTAGGTTGTTTAAATTCCCAAATCTCAAAAGATCAAAAATCATACAAAGAGGAAAAACAAGGCATGCTGAAAGAAACAAAATACATCCACAGAAACTGGCTGCAGATTATGGACATCTATATTACCTGATACATAATTAAAATAACCATCTAAATGATGATTAAATAGCTAAAAGAGTTAAACAAAATATTCAAACTATGTTAGAACAAAATCAAAATGTCAATGAGAAAGTATAATCAAGGAACAAAAAATGAGAGCTGACAGTAGTACAACAGTACAATAACTGAATCTGAAACTTCACCAGAGAGATTAATGACTTGATCAAGCAAAATAAAGAAAGAAAAAACTTTAAGATAATTCATTAAAATTATGAAATTACAGGGAGCACAAAATAAAAATGAAGACATGGGACAAACGCCTGAGGGACTCACTGGACACCATCAAGGAGACCAATATACACATCAAGGGGACCCAATGAGGTAAAGAGAAATAAAAGGGGGCAGAGAGCTTATATGAAGAATTAATGGCTTAAATGTCCCTCATTTGAGGAAAGAAACAGGCCTAAAATATCAAGCAGCACAATGAATTCCAAATAAAATAAATTCAAAGATATCCACACAGATACACAATATAATCAAACTATCAAGAATCACAAACAAAAAGATTAAGCAACTCAGGGTGTACAACAGAGCTTCTACAGCATTATCAGATTTCTCAGCAACAGCCTCATATAAAGAAAACAGTATACAATCTAACAGTCATGAATGAAGAAAAATTACCAAGAATACTCCGTCAAAATGAAGGACAAATAAAAAATTTCCCAGAGAACTACTTCTTACAATTTCAGCACCATTAGACTAGCCCTACAGAAAATGCTAAGATATCATACAGAGAATTTTCTAACATTGTCATACTGTAGCACAAGTCACTTTATTACACACAAAACAATAGGAAAAAGAAGTATGTTTAGCCCAAGAATTAGCAGAGGGGTGGAAATTTTAACATGCAACATAAATCAACAAAATAAGATATAGCAAGGGGCACCTCAGTAGCTCAGTCAGTTGAGCGTCCAACTCTTGATTCCGGCTCCTGTCACGATTTCAGGGTCGTGGGATGGAGCCCCACAAAAGGCTCTGTGCTCAGTGTGGAAGTCTGCTTGGGGTTCTCTCTCTCCCTGTCTCTCTGTCCCTCCCCCTGTTTTCGGTCTCTAAATAAATAAATATGTAAATAAATAAAATATTTTAAGAAATAGGATATGGAAAAAATAAAAAACAATCAACAAAACAAAGAGTTGGTTTTCTGAAAAGATCCAGACAAATGACACACCCTTTACTAAATCAAGTAAAAATAACAGAAGACTCAACTAAAAACACATTGGAACTGATGCCAGGACGCCTGGGTGGCTCAGTCAGTTAAGCGTCTGCCTTTAGCTCAGGTCATGATCTCAGGGTCCTGGGATGGAGCCCCATATCGGGCTCCCTGCTCAGCAGGGAGTCTGCTTCTCCCCCGCCTGCCACTCCCCCGCTTCTGCTCTCTCTCTGGCAAATAAATAAATAAAATCTAAAAAAATAAAAAATAAAAAACTGATGCCATAGAAATAATAATAAGAGGCGATAAAGAAAAATTATATGCCAACAAATGGATACCAAAAACCATGTGTATAAATGTCATAAAAGATACAATCTGTTAGGGCGCCTGGGTGACTCAGATGGTTAAGCAACTGCCTTTGGCTCAGGTTGTGATCTCCAGGTCCTGGGATAGAGCCCTGCGTCAGGCTCCAGGCTCAGTGGGGAGTCTGTTTCTCCCTCTCCTTCTGCCTCTCCCCCTGCTTGTGCTCTGTCTCTCTCTCAAATAAATAAATCTAAAAAAAAAAAAAAAAAAAAGATACAATCTGTACTCTATCATGACCAAAAAAAACAAAACAAAACGAGAAAACACCTCACAACAGACCTACAACTACTAAATAGACTGAAAAAAGTAACCAAAAACTCTGAAAGAAATTGCATAACCCAGACGAATTTTTGGCTAATTCAAGGAAACATTCAACGAAAACTTACATCAAACTTCAAACACTACCAACATGTGAAGAGAAGAGAAATCAGATCCCTTTCTATCCCCAGCCTTATCCAGATATCAAAGCCAAAGACCCTACAGGTAAAGAATACAGACTACTACCCAAGATGAATATTCATGCAAAAGTCCACAATAAAATACAGCAAACTGAGAGGTGCCTGGGTGGCTCAGTCAGTTAAGCATGGGACTCTTGGTTTCCACTCAAGTCATTATCTCAGGGTCCTGAGATCCAGCCCCTTTGGACTTAGCCCTCAGCAGGGAGCCTGCTTGGGATTCTCTCTCTCCCTCTCCTTCTGCCCTTCCCACTGCTTGTTCTATAAATACATACGTACATACATACATAAGATCTTTAATAAAATATAAAATAAAATATAGGGAGCTGATGGCAAAAGCACATTTTAACATTCTAAAGCATGAACAAGTGGGAATACTTCCTCAAATTCTAGAGTTTCAACATACTGAAAATATGTAAGATGTCCCGATAACAGAATAAAGGTCAAAAATAACATCACTTGGGCGCCTGGGTGGCTCAGTTGGTTAAGCGACTGCCTTCAGCTCAGGTCATGATCCTGGAGTCCCTGGATCGAGTCCCATCCCGCATCCGGCTCCCTGCTCAGCAGGGAGTTTGCTTTGCCCTCTGACCCTCCCCCCTCTCATGTGCTCTGTCTCTCTCATTCTCTCTCTCTCAAATAAATAAATAAAATCTTTAAAAAAAAAAAATAACATCACTTGAACTGATGTGGAAAAAGAATTTGACCATATTCAACAGTTTCGTGATAAAGACATTCAACAAAATAGAAAGAGAAGGTAACCACCTCAATGTAGTAAAGGCCATATATGAAAATCCTAAAGGTAACACCATACTCTAGTTAAAGACTGAAAGCTTTTCTTCCATGATCAGGTAGAAAAGAATGAAGTAAATTCAACACTTCCATTCAACATACTACTTGATGTTTTACTTAGAACAATTAGATGACAAAAATAGATAAAAGGCATCCAAATTAGAAAAGAAAAAGTAAAATTATATCTGTTCACAGATGATATACTCATATATAGAAAAGCCAAAAGAATCCACATTTTAAAAACCTTTTTAGGGGTGCCTGGGTGGCTCAGTTGGTTAAGTGGCTGCTTTCAGCTCAGGTCATGATCCCAGGCTCCTAGGATCAAGCCCCATGTCAGGCTCCCTGCTCAGTGGGAAGTCTGCTCCTCTCTCTCTCTCTCCCTACCCCTCCTCCTGCTCATGCTCTCTCTCTCTCTCTCAAATAAATATTTTTTAAATAAATAAATAAAATAAAAACCATTTAAAACTCAAATTTTACAGTTTCAAAATACAAGGTCACAGGGCACCTGGGTGGCTCAGATGGTTAAGCATCTGCCTTCGGCTCAGGTCATGATCCC